TATAACTTTATAAAGAAAAGCAGGATTTTTTTTTTTCATTTTTTATCATGAGATCTATGGTCCCTGAGTTGACCTGTTTTTTTTTTAAGAAATGAATTTCTGTTTTTTGCAGGGAAATGAGGTGTTTTAAAAAAATGAAGATGCAAAATTTGAAAACAAATAAACAAAAAAAGGGTTTGATTGATTGATTGATTGATTGATTGATTAAGGGCGTCGTTCGACACTCCTCGGAGCGTCCTCGAGCTCCGAGGACGAATCCTCGGAGTTTTTTTTTATTTTTGGAGGCGTCGTTCCACCTGTCCTCGGAGAGTAGCCCCGAGGATGCATCCTCGGGGCCGCCCCGCGGCCAGTTTCATGAGATTATAGACGACCGCGAGGGTGTTGTCCGACCTCCGATTCGGGATGTCCGTGTGCGAGGCGCGCTGGTCCACCAGCCGGACGGCAGCAAAACGTCACGGGCCGTGGAAAATAAAATTGCAAGCGCGGGAACGGCCCCGTTCGAAATTCGAAATTCGAATTTTCTCCGCGCGGAACGACGGTGTGGCGGCGCACAGACGGAAGAGCACGTCGACTGGGGGACGAGCGCGCAGGCTTGACGTCGCGTTTCGTACTTCAGCGGCACCGCGCCGCCACCGTGTGTACTGTGTTCGTCGCAGGCAAAACAAAGCGGCGTGTCTTCTCCTGCGCTCGCCACGTGCATGCGAGCGGCGCTTTCGTGGTTCAGGGACGGAGGACGAACGCTCCCATCGCGGTGTAAGTTTTGTCATCACGCCTGTCTTCCACACCTCGTCGTAGGCGTCTTCGATCGTCGCCGTGGACGTTCATTCGCGCAGGTGGGTGGCAGTGGACGTTGCTCTTCGTCGTGGACGTGCGCGTATGGAGGGATGCGATGGGGTTGGCCGTGCTGTGCTGTCGCGGACGGAGAGGACAGTTGTCGTGGCAGCTGCCGTTGTCGTAGTCCGTCGATACAAAGCGGAGAGGGCGGCGGGCCGCATGAAGGCAGCGCTTTCCAGGCGGCGGCACAGGATTCTGCTGCAGAGGGTGTTGGACGCCCCGGACTGCATCACGACTTCGGAGGCCGTGGTTCAGCTGTGCGCTGCAATCAGCTCCGGTGTGCTTCCCAAGGCGACGCCACGTTGGTGGATGAGGCGGAGAACTGACGGGACTTGGGAGGATTTGCGGGTGTGCGATGACGCGACGGATGACTACTTCCGGGAAAAGTTCCGCATGTCTAGGAGAGTGTTCATGGAGATCACCGAAGCCTGTGCGCCTCATTTGCAACGACAGGTCACGTTTTACAGGGAGCCGCTTCAACCGGATCAGATCGTCGCGTACGCGCTGTATAGGTGGGCAACAGGAGAGTCGTACGACAACAGCACATCATCGTTCGGCATTGGCAGAGCATCCGGAGTTCGAGCCGTGCGCGATGTGACAGCCGCGTTGTTGAGGGTCTACGGGGACAAGATATCGTGGCCGACGGGGGTGCGTAAACACGTGGTGCTTCGGGCGTTTAAGGACAAGGGCTTTCCCAACTGCCATGGCGCAGTTGACTGCACACATATCTACGTGGACAAACCGGCGAACGCTCCGAGCGAGAACTACTTCGACCGCAAGCACCGTTTCTCCATCATTGCGCAGGTGGTGGTGGACCTGGATCTGCGTGTGCTTGACGTCTTCGTTGGCTACCCGGGCAGCTGCCACGACATTCGGGTGATCCAGCTGTCAAGTTTGTTGAAGCGCGCGGAAGAGGGAACGCTTTTTCGCGGGCCGCCTGTAACGATGCCGGGAGGGGTGAGGACGAACGAATACATCTTGGGCGACAACGGGTATCCTTCTTCAGAATGGATAGTGGTGTCGTACGGAGGAATCAATCAGCACCCGGACGAGGAAAGGTTCGACAACAAACAGAAGGTTGTTAGAGGTGTTGTGGAGAGGGCGTTCGGGAGGTTGAAGGGGATGTGGAGGCTCTTCCCGCGGTCGCACAAGACGAACTTGGACACTCTACCGCAGCAGTTCACGGTCGTCTGCATTCTCCACAACATCCTGCTCGATGCTGGAATCGAGTTCGACGTTGTGGGAGGTCGACGAGAACGGGGTGAGGCGGCGAGTGGACCTGTGGATTCATCCCCCACTACAGCCAGTGACGATGCTCACATCGACGGACGCCGCACACGCGCTCCGCAATGCCCTAGCAGAGCGAATGAAACACATCTGATCGTGCGTGTCGCGCCACTCTGCCTGGCGTGCACAGACAGAAGCYGTGTGCGTCCGTCGTCGAGTCGCAGCGCTTGCGTCATTCACGAATGCGCGCAGTTAGCTCGCAGGGTTTGYAGTGGCGGACGGCTCGTTTGTAGGTGTTTGTTGTTGTAGTCGACGGTAGTGTGCTTCTCCAGGTCGTGGGTGATCGGCAGTGAAGCGGGTCAATTGTCGC